TCAACTTCAACAACAACATCATCAACTTCAACAACAACATCCAGTACGTCATCATCATCATCCACTACATCAACAACAACGTCATCAACTTCAACGACAACATCATCAACATCATCAACAACTACAACTACAACAACTAAAACAACATCATCAACAACTTCAGCAACTTCAACAACTTCAACAACTGCAACTACAACTACAACTACATCAATGAGTTAGTATTATACTACATGATTGTGTCGTTTCCTAACAGATTGTTATTTCCAGTCTTGAGTGTATGGTTGTGCGTTAGATGTGGATAATGTGAATAAACATATTCCGATCCACATCGTCACATACTAAATACTTTGTATAAAATCTTCAGTATAGTAGTGCAGCAGAGATTTCATAAAGTACTATTATATAATACTAAAAAAAAAAGGTTTCTTCTTGCACGATTACCGAAAAACATTCTGTTAGATACTCACGCGATAATCACGATCCCAAACGTCAGTGTTATCTTATTCATCGCTTAATCATGTCCTTATATTTTTTTAGTTCCATGTGTTCGACCAGTCACATATTCTCAATCGTTTTTATCCGGTGTTACTCCAACAGCCCAATGCATAGCATGGTCATTGTTTGTAGCTAGTTTGACTTGTTCAAGTTACTCAAGCGTACGTATATACGGCTCCAATGATGGAACTGGCTTAAGTGTAGTTGACGCGACTGTGGCCACTGCTATCGCAGTAGCTTTACGTACTAGTGGTTCATATACGGGCGCCTCCAATGGCTATACATGGGCAGTTGGTATTTGTGGTACTGGTCCCGAAATAACTTCGACAGGAAGTGCGTGTCAAGGCAATACAGGTTATACTCTTAGACCATGTGTTGGTAATTTAAATTGGGGTGGTATCAATGGTATAACGAGCGGTGCAGCATCGCAAACGATATCACTTACTATTCAATGAAAAAACGAGACAAACAGCTATTTTAATACGAACCATTTATTTCTTTACAGTTTTCTAGTGCCTTCAATTTCTTTAGAATTTATTCCTACTTAAATAAAAAATAAAAAGTATGGTAATAATCATATTGTTGATATGTTTAACAAGTATGTTGTTAGATAGATAATTAAGTCGAAGCATACATCGAATTGCATATGTTGTTTCAAGTATAGTGGTATTTTTCAAATAAATATCTTAGTCAATAAAGATCAGCTGACGGTGAGGTGAGGTTGAACAGCATATGGTTGCTCTCTCATCCATCTATACTATCACTCTACTTTAGTGATATTATTTTAATTGTTTTTATATGTAATCATGAAAACAAGAAAAGTTGGAAAAGTTTTATTTGATTGAAATAAGTCAACCAAGAGTAGTCTATTGGATAGAGAACATTTTCATTAACTAGTCGTTTTTTTAGCTGTTTTCGTTCGATCACATGCAGATGACAAATAAACTCACAACTCGAAGTTACTGTCACTGAGCAAAACTAAATCATCAATAAAATTATTATAGAAATTGTCTATTGCTATTGAAGACGAAGAACTTATACTTGGTGCAAAAACGAGTTATAGTAAAACACTAAATGTAGGATTTAAGTGGTGTGGGTGTGGATGTGGGGTGGGTGTGGGTGAGGGTGAGTGGGTGTGGATGTGAATATAACAAATAGATAATACTCACACCCACACCCTTCTAAAAAATATCAAAAATTAAATCTAAACTATTGTATAGTCTTTTAGTATTATCTTTTCATAAAAGAAATAATATATACACTTCACATATGCATGATCTCTTTCATCATCATCTATAGATAGATATTATCAGAGATATGGCAATTATTATTAATCACACTATATTGTCCACACAAAATATGAACATTAAGTGCACTTTTTTCAATTGAATAAATAAAGAAAAATGTTGATCATTGTTGTTAACAATATGATTTTTAGAGATAGTGAAAAGTTTAAAAAATATGTCATAGTAGAATCTATGAGATAAATAACAGAGTTTTTTTGTTGATTATGAAACAATCACTTGAATGAAAGATAATATTATATTCATTAATATAATTATCAACAATGAATTTTATATAAAAAATCATTAGTAATAGCTCAGTTATAATTTCATATAAATTTGAAAATAATTAAAAAATTAATTCTAATTTTTCTTTCAAGATATAAAATAACACAATCATGGTATAAGGAAATTCTATAGATTATAATTTTAATCAACCAGATTCTATATCTAATACAGCTCATTTTACACAGATTGTTTTGGAAAGATACAAAAAAATTAGATATTGAAAATGTATTTAATAAACAAGATAAAAATACGTATATTGTTACTCAATATAGCCCATCAGACAATTATCGTGAAGCATATAATATAAATGTTTTTCATGTTAAATATTAACTAATTCAATGAATCATTTTTATTTGTTTTTTATTTTGATATTAGTTGTGTTTTTTTATATTTGCTTTTCTTCCTAAATTTAATCTTTCGTGTTAAAAATACGTAAGAAAAGTTAGCACTATATTGGGGGTGGGTGTGGGTGCAGATGAAACTGAATACCCACACCAACATCCACCCACACCCTAAAATAGGTGTGGATGCTACTGGTTTGCTCTCGACATTTCCATCTTACATTTGAACCATATTTTTCTAATTTTTCGTTCACGAGATCATTGCGATACAAAATGACAACTTTTTATGCGCACAGGACTACATAAATGCTTTGCTTCGCATCGCATTAAATATTGTCAAGGTTTTGATCTTTTAAACTATAGTAAGCGATATATAAATTATATAGATGGATTGAATAGAACTATAAAACAAGTTGCTTCTTTAAATTTTTTATTGAACGATATGTTATGGTTTTATTTTTGAAGTAAATCAACTTTTCAAGGTAAACTTTCTTAGATCAAATTAGAAGATTAAATACAAGAACATAACCTTTAAATCTCGTAAAAGAAGTTTCATTAAATAAAATATCAAGCTTTCTTCTGTAACTATCATGTTATGTTATTTTTAGCCTAATTATTTCCTGTGAACTATGTATATCTATTTAAATAATTTAAAAGTAAATGATATTATTTCATATTCAAGAGTGCCATAAGAAACATGAAACAGAAACTTTTGAAGATATAGCGAATAATTTCGTTATCAATGAATTGGTTTTATAATAATGCTTAGTAAATAATGACATTCTTGTTGATTTACAATATTACCATGCTTTGTATTATAAGAAAAGAACTTCATTAAAGCTTATGTTTTTTTTCAAACAAAGAGAAAGATTGAGAAGCATTTCTAATATTTCATTATATTTCTACTAAACAAAATAATACAGTTCATATGTCTTCCTTTGCTTATCGAACTATCAGTTAGTCTAAACTTAAGTTTTTCATATTTATATATTTCCAGCATATGTAGTTCTTTTATACTTTTTAGTTCAAAAGTTTGTTTTTTTCTTTCTGTAATAAGAAAAAAAGAATCGGGTTTTTTTCTTCGACTATTTTGATGTTTCTATTTGGACTTATACGAGTAGTAAAAGAAAATTCCTCTCGTTCTTTAGATGAATTCAACAGAGAGCATGACTATCACGTTCAATAAACTATTTTTCTTAACTACATCAGGTTTGTGGCATGTTTAAAAGAATAGAATGATCTACATTTGAAATTTTCTATTTTTTTTCTTCTTCTTTCTTTCTTCCACGTCGGAGTTTGGTTGGAGGAACAGTAAAGGTTTCTTACATATTACATACTCGTTTCTTCTCGTTCTATATGCAGTTATAGCTCCAACCGGTTCTCTTAACAGACGTCGCTTTTTTTTTTATCTTTCTGTTATTAAAAACAACGTAAATCCATAAGAACTACTTTCTTAATACAACAATCATTATTGTTATTTTTTTTTCGACATTTTCATCATACACAACAAAATATTATTTATTTGAAAGCATAACATTGCATTACTTCACTTAAACAGAAAACAAGACAATTATTTTTTTTCTTCTATTAATAAAGTAAGTGTCTATGCTTTGTCACTATTTAAAATATGTAAGAGATATAGATAAAAGATATATGAAATAAAACACGTTGCCGCGACAAGTTTCGTGCTTCGACGCTTCTCGATAGGCTAAACCCTAAGTACATCTATCAAATAAAATAAATGAGAAAAATATTCTTAATGTACTTGCATGCATTTCCGTGATTATATTTCATTTCTTTTTCTTTTTTATTAGATTTATTTTAATGAATCAATGAGTTGTTAGAATGCATGGATTAATGAATGAGGGTAAATATATTATAAATTAATTGATTTTTTTTTTCTTATTTTCTCTTTCAATTTTAGTAACTAATGAAGAGAGTAATAGTACATCAACAACAGTTCCTAATAAACCAACTGTTGTTATACGAAAACGAAAACTTCGACAAGTGAAATCATTAATAAAATCTTCAATTGACAAATTAACTAGTGAGACACAACAAGAGCAAAATACAAAGAAAACATCAACAAATACATCTATTGATAAAAGACCGTTTCCTTTTGGACATTGGTAATATTGATTCTATAAAAAATTATTTATTGGTTTTATATATATATATATATTTATAGTCGTGTATGTACCGATAAGGCTACTGGTGCTCATTATGGCGTGCCAACTTGTGAAGGATGCAAAGTAAATCTATATGAAAATATTTATTTTCTTTCTATTTGATTAAATGACGTCATGTAGAAAATATTTATTTTTATTCAAAATGATATGATGACATTTTGTTCTACATAAATCATTGACTAACCTATGCTAATGTACTTGATAGAGCTTTTTAAGTTTTAAAATTGCTATATATAGAAATATATGTGTATTTATTTTAGGGTTTTTTCAAGCGAAGCATATTGAGAAAAGAAAAATATCGTTGTTACTTTGGTGATAAATGCATTATTAATAGTGACAACCGTAACAGATGTAAATCGTGTCGTTTTCAAAAATGTCTCAAAGAAGGCATGTCTGTCGAAGGTGTGTATATTTATTTTACTAATTCAAATATTTTACTATTGATTCTTGGAGAGAAATTTATTTAATGTCGAACAATATTTAAATAGGATGAATGAGTAATCTGTAAATGTGACCTACATAATGATAAGAATTTTTTTTCTATTTCTAGGTGTACGAATGGGTCGAATACCTAAATCAGTTAAAGAAAAAGCGTTAGCTGAACATACATCATCTAGTATAGAAAATGAAGATCCAACTCAATTATCTCCATTACCTATCCCAGCATTAACTTCAAATTCAAATAATCCATTATCAGCATCATCTATAGTCGATTTACAAATACCATCAATTGATGAACATTTATTTTTTGCTGATTTAGATAATGTACCTATTGATAGTCAATTAAATTGTCATACACCTCCACCGTTAACAACAACAACAAGATCATTAACATGTCAAAGATATGAATTACCAGACAATTTTACGATTGATGAAACAAAACAAGAAGAAATTGAAGATGATGAACGTATTGTTAACTTAGATCCTCAAGCATTAACAAATTATATGACAAATTGTGAAGAATATTTTGCTAATAATGTTATTGAACGTATGAAAAATATTGTTCAAAAAATAGCACATCCAACAGATTGTACAGAACTTGATTACGAAGAATCATCGTTTATTCGACATCTTCGATGGAAAATGTTTGATTTAAGTAATACATATAATGGACGAACAAGACAATTAATTGAAAGAATGAATTGTATGATTCGTCTTGAAGTAAATATCTATCTGTCTTTTATCTTTGTTTATTAAATAAAACCTTTAATTAGATTGAAGATTTTCCAGGAAAATCTTCTTCACTTCATGATATTTGGGCTGGTCTGACAGGTATAATTTTAATTAAAAATTTTTTTTTTTGAACTTATACATTTATAATTTAGATGCTATTCCATTCCATGTAAAAAATCTCATTACTTTCGCAAGAGAAGTAAGTAACTTACATATTAATGTTTTATTAACCTCATATTCACTTTCAAAAATTTATTTTATATTTAGATGCCAGCAGTGAATGAAATTGATTCCGATGACTTTCATAAAATAATGAATAATCGTCTATTTGATTTTTGGCTTGTAAGAATATTTTTATTGTTATTCTTATTTAATTAAAAATCTTAATTTAATTTAGATTAAACATGCACCATTGATACTCAACAATGAATCATATATGATGTTACCTAATGGTCTTCAATATACACGTCAATGGATGAATACAATTATTGGCGAAGAAATGGTTCAAACAATGTTTCAATTTGCTAATAAATATAATGAATTAAATTTAACGCATGAAGAACATGCTCTAATATTTCCTGCTGTGATTTGTGTGAAAGGTAAAAAGTTTATTAATATAACTTATATATTAAACAAAGGCGGATTTGCTTCGTAAATGACCTAGATATATATTTTGTTTTAATTCATACTTTAATGTTCTCGTAAAGTGCATAAAAGAAAGTGAGAGATTAAAGCAACAGACACTTTGACATATTATAATTGAAGAACTAGTTTTCTATCAATTAGAAAATTTATATATCTAATTATTTGATATTAGATGAAACACTTCAAGATCAAGAAACAATTCGAAACATACAATATTGTTATCTATATGCATTATATATTCAAATGTTGACAACACGTACACAATCGCAATCAAAAGCAGTATTCCGTAGTCTTCTTCAGGTTTGAAAAATATTTTCTCAATAATATATTTTTTATTTATCGATATATCTATAGATATTTGCTTATTTACCTTTATTGAATGAATTACAAGAGAAAAAAGTTGGTTCACTTTTTCCACCGAGTAAGTTAAAGATTTTGTAAAATCTTCTCTGAAAATTCATTTATAATAACATGCACCTACACGCTTTTTACTGCACATAGTTAATACTAATCATCGGAATTTCAGCACGCTTCGTCGTTTCATGCACGATGTTCTTTTATTAGAAATTCATGGTAGTTTCTTTTTATTTTGCTTGCTCCTAGTGTTTTATTTTTATTAATTTTGATTGTTTTATTATCTTAATTCATATAGAAGTATTCAAATATTAATTTTTATATTTCCTTTATTTTAGACGTTGATGAACAGTCATGATGAATGATAATATCATTTAACTTCTTTTATATTGCTCAATGTTGTAGTTTAACACTTATTGTTTTTTTTAATGTTCTTGTATGAATGCGCGCGTGTGTGTGTGTGAATATGTATTTAGAAAAAAAAGAAGAAGAAGAAGGAAAAAAGCAGTTGACGAAAAAAACCTTGGTGAAATAAAACAAAAAAAAAAGATATAATATAAACAGCTGTTGCATACGTTTAGACACATATCATTGGAGACAACAACGAACTTATTCTTAGAAATCAAGTAGGTATGATGACGACTGATGTTTTCTTTTCTCTTCATTTATTAGGAGTAAGATTTATCTTTTAATTTAAAAATGTGTTACAGAATCTTTTTCAACTGCGCATATAGTTCCACTACTCGTATGTTTAATTAATTTCGATTGATAAAAATATTTATAGGCTAACCAAATAATAACACATAAGATAACTAGTAAATCAATTAAAATTAAAATTATCATTATAGTAAGACTAAGTCGTCTTTGTTTTGAACAATGAAGAATATTCGAGATTGTTGAAATTCGTTGAATTGTATGAATATGAGTTGTATCATTGGATATAAATGGTAAATATTGACATGTTTGATAACATATTTGTCGTTGCTGTTGTGTATAATTAATAGATATATATTCGATTTGATTCGTTTTTTCACATATTGTTAAGAAATTTTGTTGTGTAGAATTCACATTTTGTATTGAATAGTTAGTTCCATTTTGATTATAATTAAATATCATTAGAGACATATTTGAATAAAGATAGAATTGTTCATATTTCCAATTAATATAGAATTGTATTGGTTTATTTAAATTATATATATTCATATATAAATAACAAGAAAATGTTTTTAATTGACATATATATAATTGAAATGGACTATTTTCAAATAAAATCCATAAATATTGATATTTTTCATCGACGATATAATTCACGATTTTTTGATCTATTGGTAAATTTAATAAATTAATTTCTTGATGTTTCATTATTTTTAATCGTAATGTATATATTTGTAATAACATTGTTTGAGAATTTAATAAATATAAATATTGTTGACCTAGAGTTAAGTAAATATACGATGAATATATAATATCATTAGGTTTTTCTTTCCAATAATCATATAAATTATTATGAATATTTAATGAAAGAATAGAATAAGTTTCATTAAATTCATTTATTAATAAAATAATTGTATTTGTTCGTTTATGAAATAAACCATTTTCTATCGTTGTATTTGATTTCGCTTGATAGATAATACTTGGCGAATTATCATTTTGAGAATCAAAATTATATAACAAAATAACTTTAGGCGAAATTAAAATGAATATATTATCATCACATTTATTATTAATACTTGCTACGGAAGAAATAAGAATTAAAAATATTAATTTAAACATATTTTTCATAACCTAAAATAATGACTATGTCCTATTATATTTACTAGTAGAATGTGAAAAGATGATGAATGACTTTTATAAAATTGGTGAAGGTCAGAGATATTTACTTATCAGATGAATTTAAAGACCTTTATTAAAATATTATGTTTTGTCTAGTATAGATGAATTACTGTATAGTAAATAGATACTAAAATTTCATGATAAAAAGAAAAGGACGACATTTATTTTTATAGAAAAATGTACCTAAGAAATAATTATTTTAATTCAAATTCTATACGTTTAAATCAAAGATTAAGACACTGTATAGTTCAATATTAATAATACGACTTATAAATTAATTGTTTTTTTTCCGTTTATAAAGCAAACAAAAATACCCTTAAAAAAGTTATTTTTAATAGGAAGTAATTTCAATGTTATTTTGTTTTATTTCTAGTTCATTATGTTATCATCAACAAATGAACCAGATATTCAATTTGAATTACATTTTCTTGATTGTCAGTCAGATTCTATAGATCGTTCGTTAAATGATCAGTCATTTATGAATCATTTATTTCGTGCAGCAACACATAAAATTCTTACATTAGAGAATTCAGATAAACGAAATGAATCACATCGCGTTACTGATATTGATAAACTTGCTCTTGTACTTAATCATGTTACATTTATACCAAAAAATATGACAAGACATGTACCAATAGAAATATCAAAAAATGAAAATCTTGAAATATCAGTACCAATAATTAAATCTGAGAAGAAATCTCAATCACCACCACCGCCACCATTATCAATTGAAATTAAACTAGAAAATCAAGGTTCAATTCCTAAAGCACCACCGTTACCTGCATCATTAGATTTAGCAATTAAATTACAATCACAGGCACGTAAAATAGAAATTCTTTCGCCTGATCAAGAAACATTATGGGCAAATGTAAGGTTTCTTTATTTGTCTTACAAATTATGATATTGATTTATTTTTAGGTTAAAAATCAAAATGTTGCTGATTATTTTGATCAGCTTATCATTCCAACAAACCACCGTACGTTTGTAGATAAAAAATAAAAAAAATAAAAATTCTCTTTTTTATATTTAGAATATTCAAATAAAATATATGAATCTAAAAACAAAACAATTCTTGATAAACGCAAGTCATATAATTTAGGTGCGTAATATTTGTGATATATTTAATCTTTTATAAATTCGGGGAAGAACGGCCGTTTTTCTATTGAAACTATGACAATTAATGCGTCATGCAAGTCGGAGAGTAGGAGAAAAAACGAAATGTCTGTGTAGAAAGAGAAAAAAAAGTATAGACTAAAAATGAGGTTGTTGTTCTGCTTTGCGGGCGAAATAGTGCTGCACGAATTAAGAATAAAATATGATTTTGTATACGTGTACAAAGGTTGTCTTTAATCTGTTCTGTGTCTATAACATGACTCATTAGGCAATCAAAAATCGATTGAATAGAATCTTATGAAACGAAAGGTAAAAAATAGCAACCTTTGCTGTCTCGACGAATAGATTCTCTTATGTTTTGTTTACATAGATTGATTTATAAAAGTTTTTAATGTATGTTTATAGTTTTCTTTCTATTTTTAATTAGTTTGTTATAGAGTAAAAAAAATTTTTTAAAAATACATTACCCTTCGAAAAAGGATTTTAAAAAATCTTGTTTTTTTCGATTGTAAAGTGTTTTTTTTGCCAACCGAAAAGAAAAACAAGAGAACAGAAAGAGAAAAAAAACGTGATATTCTATATATTTAAATACAAGAATCGTATGTGTTTCTCTTCATACTTGTTTTATGTAATATGATTGCATTTTGATTGAGAAGATGAGTTCGATACTGCCGTCTTCAAATTCATATGACGATTTCAATACATGGTCACCTTCAATTCCAGAATACTGTTTACAAAATGAGTTAAGCGATAATGATATATTAGCGATTGATTTACCTGGTAATCAAAAGCCATCACAAAATAATATAGTCTCAATTCCTTCAACACCACCACCATCTCCTTCTAATTTTGCTAATTATATGGATAAATACTTACGTCCAGTTCCACAGGATTGTCCACTACCTGATTTTAGCGATGTTGATAAATTGGTGGCTTCGTTATTTGGCGATAAAGAATCACCACAAGATGATCTTGATAAATACTTACGTCCAGTTTCACAGTATTGCCAATATGATGATGTCAGCAATGTTGATAAATTGATGACTGCAGTATTTCGTGATAAGAAACGATTACAAAATTCGCCGGACTATCATAGGATATCACAGAATAGATTTATTCCTACTGAAGTCGATATGGAAGTTATGCAGGAGATCAATCAAAGCCAGCTAGAAGGTGGATATGCTAATCGTGTACTAATTTATGACCAAGGTCAATCTATTCAGTGTCCACCTGTAACAAATGGACTTCGTTTTCATCAGGGTGGCATGAATCCTGGACCTTCGTTCAATAATAACCAAGAATTTAACGCTTTCATGGGCTATGAGCCAAGCTACGAACAAAATTTTCTTGATAATTATGATTTTGGAACTGCTCAAATAGCAACGCTTGATGATTCGAATATGCAGGTGCAGGATGAATCTACATGTGATTTTGAACTAACATCGTCTTCATTAAAAACCGCAAATCCCATAGAAATATCACAAAATCCACAACAATCGGGTTCACAACGTATAGATAGAAACGAATGGTTTATTGTGTCTAAAGTTGATGGAAAAAAACGTGCACCTTTATTGCATGAATTTCTTCGACGATTACTCGATAATCAAAAGTATTCGCATGTTGCTCAGTATGTAGATCGCAAGAAAGGTATCTTCACATTTTATCAACGAGAAGAAGCAGCTAATTTATGGCAACATGTTAAAGCAAGAAATTCAGATTCAAGTATGATATTTTTTTTTTCGTTTTTATTAATTCTAAATTTTCGTATTTCTTCTAGAAATGACATATGATAAATTAGCACGAGGCATTAGATATTATTATTCCGGTGGAATTATACGACGAACTGCTGGACGATTTACTTTTCGATTTGGTAGCGAATCCGGATTCGGCACACAATGGTGGCCAGCTTCATAAGAAACATTGATCTTTATTTTTCATACTCTTGAAAATATTTTTTAGTTTACTCAAACGAGTTTATCAAATATGCTTTTTACTGCAAAACAAATTAATTTTTATGCCAATTTGTTTTGTTTTTTTTGTATATAGAATAGATGCAGTTTTAAACTGATTGCATTGCGTTGCTATAGATACATACTATGATTAAGATACTTGGTTTTTTCCAACTCGAAAAAAGATAAGAACGCAATTAAGCGTTTACATGAGTCATTATTCCGAAAGAACGTCAAAATCATAAAAAATACATCACGTAATTTCATGTTATGATAGTTGTTTTTCTTTGCTTTTAGGAATTATATTGGCATCTATTAAACGTAGTCCTATTGAAATAGCTGATGCTATAAAAAATTTTAATTCAAAACTAAATTCAATTGAACTTATACAACATTTAATTCAATATATACCTAATGAAACAGAGGTAAATCTACTGAGACAAATAAATAAATAAATCATAAAAACTGAGTCAGATGCTATTAAAAATAGAAGTAATTTTATACTCTATGACAGACTTTACATACAAAATCTCAAGATAAAAACAAGGTATTTATTGATATTTTTCTCGTTCTATTTATGCCCGTGAAATTTTCTTTCGATATTCATAATATTATACAGGATTTCACATAACTACCTATTAGTAATATGTACTCGATAATGTTGGCAAAAGAAATATAATATGCGCAATAGACTCTTATATTAAAGATCAATTGAATCATGTCTACAAGTGAAAAGAATACATAAAAATAGACTGATAAGATTTATTCCACTGATTGAATTCACAAGATATTTTTGTAAATGGAAATGTATCGATTACTTGAGAATGAAACATAGTTTTTGAATTTTTTTTATAATTTGTTAATAGAAAACATATTTTTGATTGAAAATATTAGTATATTTATTGTTTAAAATTCAATAGAATCCATTTCTTCACATAGAGCACAATAAATCTTTTTTTTATAGACTAATATTATTGATTAGAATCGACATTTTCTTCTTTTCTATTAACAAGCAGCATATGTGAATACAACTTTTTGACGAATTATGATACTGTTGAATGACTTCGCTCTACGATTAAAGCTCTCTTGATTTCTATTGATAGCATTTTAAAATTTTTTTCAACGAATTTCAAATATAAAAACAATCGATTCATTCATATTATAATATTTCTAATAAACTTCATATGGTGTATATATTTTCTATAGAGTTTACACCTTTTCTTTATCATAATCTTCGCTAATTAAAAGAATTTCATGAAAGATTTGACTAAAATCACTATAAATATATTCAAGAATTATCGGAGTTGAGATAATTACAAAATATCTAATGATACAAACTTATTATGTCATTGAGAGTGAGTGTAGGGTAAATAATGAATCCAAAACGCTCATTCTCATCCGCATCCTGATTTTTCATGGCTAGTTGACAGTTTAATTGTTATGTTTATGTCCTTGATAATCAACGATATATGTATTCTTTTTTATTCTTTGTCAAACTATATGATACAAATTTTTATGACGTGAGCTAATCACCTGTGCGCAAGTTACTCGCGCGTATCTTACGATGCGCAATATTCGTAAATTCATTATGACAGTAGGCCGTGATATTTACTAAACAAAGACCAAAAATACCTTATTAGACAGGGTGGTATAGAATGCTTTTTTTTCTAATTCTTACTTTTTAAATGAAAAAAAAAGAGATCACAAGATCAACGTCTTATAAAATCCTCCAAAAAATAGGTATCCAGTAATGCTAGCATGCGCATATATAACAGATAAAAAAGATTAATTGAGAAAAGGATTCTATACTGCATGCGTGTTGTTAACGAAAATATTATTACAATCAAAGTATATATCTAAAAATTTTTATTATTAAAAAAATAGATTGATGCATTTAATCAATTATCTATCGCTAAAGAAAAATTATCTCCAGCTGATCGACTTGTGTATGAGGTTAGTTAATAAAAATCATTGAATTATCAGATAGCACATTCTAATTTGTAGATTCTGTTAATACCATACTACAAGGAACGATTAAATACAATCAAATTCAAATTAATATTTGCTGATAATTGTAATTTATTAAATGCACAAATACGATTGGTCAATGAAGCTTGTACTTTTTTATATCATTCGTCACATATTAAAGAATTACTTGAAGTTAGTTTTCATTATTTTAATTTATATTCATATAATACTTTGAATTTAGATAATACTTTCCGTACTTAATCATTTGAATTCAACTCCAACACATCGAATACTTACATTAGATGATTTATCAAAAGTTTGTTAATAATTCTCTTTTTGTTACTATTTATTTCTCTAAATATTTATTTAACAAGGTATGTGATTTAAAAACACCTAAAACACGTATACCAATTATGAATATTATTTCTCAAATTTGTAATGATCGTCATTCAGATATATTTGATCTCAAACAAAATTATAATTTAATTTCAACTGCGAGCAAAAGTAGATCATATTTTATATAAAAATATGTTAATGTCTATAGATTTTAGTTGATTTAACTATAATTAAATACGAAATTGAACAAATGAAACAACAATCTGAAGTAAAAAATAAATAAAATTTTTTTATTTTATTCTTTATTTTGTTAGCAAATACAAATATGGTTAAATAAATTCGACGATAGAATAGATATTGAAGTAATATAAAAAAATCTCTCTACGAAATAAAGTAAAATAATAACAATTTGAATAGAAATTTCTTTTTGATTGTCAAGAGACATTACATGAAATATTTCATAATTATCAAGTAACAAATGATCAGTTTCATAAGACAATTTCATATTTTACTAAACAAACAACAACGTCCGTTATTTTTCTTTCAATTTTTGCAAATTTAATTCATTCCTTACAGGTACGAAAAAGAATAACAACGATTAGAAAAAAATTTATTCTTTTTTCTTTTTTCTTCTTTCTCATAGTTCAAACAATAATTTTAAACTTTCGCTTTGTTTTCATCTAAAAACAAAAAATCGACCAACGCCTTTTAAATATTGAATGAGAACAGCGACTAAATACTCTAATGGATTAAACAATGTTAATATTATGTTTTTGTAATGATGAAACGAGAGAAACGAGTATTAAAGTAGAATTTTATGTTTTGTGCACTTCACTTAACTTTTTTTTTCCTCTCACTCACTTTCTATTTCTCTCCCTCCTACTTTTCATTGCTTATAAACGAACATTCTTACTTCATTTAAACAGAAAGCAGACGGATTTTTGTTAACATTTTCATAAATACAACAGACCATTGCAACATATAAATATGGGTCTTACAGGTACACAAATAGGACTTTGTTTTCAGTCATATTGGTATATGTGGTAAGTAGAAATAAGATAATATATAGTAGATTAGCTTTTCTATAAATATTTTTAGGCTAACTAATGCTCTTGCAGGACTAGTATTTATTGGTATTAATATTGGTATGAATAATCATCTTAGTTTTTTGAAAATAAAAATATTTTATTTAAGGTGTTGCTGGGTTTTTCCTTAAGAAATTTATCGCGAAAAAACAAGCTCATTATGCAGAACCTCCAACTGTACAAGAAGAAACTGCAAGACGGCCATTTTCTGCTAGTGAAATTAGTACACATGATGATGGAGCTATGTCACGAGCTTCCTCACGCAAATCACGTACTTATTTTATATTGAATAAACAAAGTTTTTTTTATATATTTTGTATTGTAGCAATGTATCCTGGAGCATCTGAAGATAATGATGAATTTGCTGAATCAACATTAAAAGCATTAAATGCTTTTCGTCGTCGACATACTGCTGAACCATTAGGTGTTAATGAACAATTATGTGAAATAGCTCAACGTTGGGCCGAACAAATGGCACGTACTGGTAAATTAGAACATAGTCCAGCTGAAATGCGTAATTTAGGACGACAAACACTTGGTGAAAATTTTAGTGCATCATTTCAATCGGAATTAACAGGTAATGTTTACACACACAAAAAACAATAATTTGAATTTTATTCTATTTCTAGGAGAAAAAATGGTTCGAAAATGGATGAAAGAAGGAAAACGATATATGTTTGGTTTCGATGGACGAAAAGATACAGAAAATTTTACACAATCAGTTTGGCAAGCATCACGAGAAATTGGTGTTGGACGTGCTCGATCAGAAGATGGAAATTGGTGGTATGGTGTTGTTGTATTTGATCCACCTGGTAATATTCCAAATCAATATTCAAATAATGTATTTTTACCTGCTGATAAAGCATAAACGAAAATCTGCTTTTACTTTATCAAACACAAACTATGTTAAAGAGACTCTTTTTTTTTCTTATTAAATAACAGAAGCGAACGCATGTTTTTATATAAATGTATACCTGTAATTTTTGAGTCATTTTCTGGTGAAATCACGATTGGTAAGTGAAAGAGAAAAAATAAAATGTATGTACTCTCTAAACTTGATCTGTTTACAAATGTATTATAATGACTACTATGAAAGACTTTTAAAAGTATCGCTATGTTTAATTATATAATAATAAACTATTAATTTATTTTATATATTGATAGTTAATTCAATAACAGGCTTAAATCAATATGCGGGAAAGTTAAATGTCAGAGTTTTTTTTATTCTTATCATGTCATCGAAAACTACGAAAGATTCAAAATTAAAGTCTTATGAACAATGTTTAAGACAAGGTATTCCTCATGGGAAAATCTATGGATCCGATTTTACTGATGGATATATTGTTAATAGATATATATATCCACCATATCCTTGGTATGTTAATATGTTATCATCTAATAATAAACAACGTCAGAATAAAAAATCAAAGAAAATCAAATCTTTACAAAAATCAAAATTTAAGATAGAAAGAAAACAACGGTTAAATTCTCGAAAACGATGAGAATAGAAAATATTTTCATTATTTATTAAATAATTTATATATTTTCGAAAAATATAATTCCCTATTAAATGACTTTTATTTAAAGTAGATTTCTATTATCCCCATTTGAATATTGATTCCATCATATCGTTTTCAAGATGAGCATTTTCTTCAAAATATTTTCGTGATACTGGATGACGATAAAATACTTTACGTAATCGATTTACAATTTTATGACATTCTGATACTTTTGAACATTTACGTAAAGAATTTTGTATTGCTTCAACATCTTGGATAACTTCATCCCAGCCAGGCTCATTTGGTACTTCCCATACATGATTATTAAGAGTAATTCTTTGCATTACTGATCGCGATAATACGATTCCATGTAATGTTAATAATAGACATAAATAGAAAACTAGGTTATTCATATTGAAATTAAAATAATAAATCGTTATTTAGGAAACTAAAAAAAAGTATTAAAATATTTCAAGAGTCTAATTAAATGTGTATTACTTACAAGTATATTGTTGAATATATATCAACGTCAAGCATATATATCTATTCCATATATATTCTTTCATATGACAACATCCACCCACTCTCTAATTTTTTTTCTTCTTTTCTTCACTTGAATCATTTTTCTAATCAAACTGATGTAATAAATGACTTTTACCATATACTTTTTCTTAGTGACTAATAAAGAAAAGAATATTTTAGGCAAACACATACTCGTTCGTGAGTTATTAAAGTACGAGTACGTGTATTGGCATGACCGTATTATTCATTTCTATTTAAATCGAAAGCAAATATATTGATGCCTATATGCACCAGTACAGTATGAAAGTACGATGACGTCACTATTTTCCTATAATGATTTTATGATTATCATAGACGGATCATGTATCCTAGAACTTGAATATAAAAATTATTTTAATAGTTTATACATTCTCTACTCAACAGAAATTGACGATCTATTGATTATCTGTAACGACAATGAATAGAATTTCTAAATTAAGAACCGCATGCTAGGTATACCCGTTACTGTCTCCGGTGTAGGATGAGAATACAAACAAAACCCAAAAAAAAACCCAAAGATATTAAAAGTGCATTTTTGATGAATGTACTGTTAGTCGTTACTGAAAGTTGAACTAAGTTAATTATCAGGATATCACCCTGTGATAAAAAAAACCACATGATGCTATATTAATCTTTTTCTCATGAATATCATATATCAGAAAAGGTTATTTTCAATCCTTTTTTATGCGTCATATGGCTCATTTTATTGATCATATGAAAATCATGACGACCTAATACTAATTATTGCATAAAAGTAATTGTATTACAATTTTTTGTTCGATTTCTCCATGTGTCACCGATGCAGTTGATTAATAATCTTCAAAGTAGTAACCATAGTTAAAGACCTCATTACTTTAAAATACAAACTAAACATAGCAACATGAATATAATTAAATATATGGTAATAAATGAAATTACATGGTATATATTTTAATTAAGTTAACAATCTATATATGAAATACACAACAGATTCTTGTAGTGTAAATTCAGATTGTCCATGGTCAAATTAAATGGTTTATATATTTTAATAGAACAGTTAAAAAAAATTGTCCACATTTCATGACTATAGAAAATTTATTAAATGTATTTCTCGAATACAAAATAATATTTTATTGCATAAAACTTATGTAGAATCCGTTTAGAAGACAAACAACTCTTGTTTATCTTTGAAACTAATTAGTTACAATCATTCAAAGAAATAAAATTATAATACTTTGTGTTTACATGAATTACGATAAAAACGTTCTTCAATTTCTTTTTTTTATAACATATCAATAGTGTTTACAATGTCGTAATTAATAATCTCGTTTATTCTGATATAAATAATAATTTCCGATTTTCTGCTTATCATATGAAAGTCTAATACTAATAATAGCTTCAGATGAACATCTCATGACTAGATATTGTTGTAATTATTCTTTTTAGTTGCAGTTATAAGAATATTTATTAATTGAATTAATGCAATCCGTTACAAAATGAATAGTGATACATTACATTTCAAAACTCCCGTTGGACATATTTTATTCGAATTAATCATTGAAATGTATTTGATTGAATATTTATAAGATTTTAATAAAAATATAGAACGAAAATTTATTTGTCAACAGACATATGTAAATCTAATACTTGAATTATTGTTTATATTCATTTCAGTCATATTCAGGGTGTGTCAAGGTGTGGACATTTCTATAGAGCTTGATTGATCATGTTAACTTTTTAGACAAGGTGATATTTATTGCGTTTTTATATAATGACTCACATCCGTTAAACACACAAGTCATGTGCTGTCCTTCTTTCTTTTACGTTCTTTCGGTTATGTTCTCGATCGTCTTGTTGTTCGATTGTTCTATATATATATATATATCGGGGATTTTTATCGGTAAATTATATATATTGCAAAACCAATAATTGATCATTTGGTAAGTAAATAAAAAGTTACATTTTTAAAAATTATACATTAGATGAATAAAAATGAATACATCCTATATTCTCAATAATAACTTTTTTTCGTTGTCTCATGACTCAGTAGGGAATAAAGTTTAAAAGTTCACAATACGTAACATAATTTATACTCCTATAATTAGATATATTGAATTATTTAGACATATTTTATCAACTTGATAATAAACTGAACATTCAATATAGTTTTCAAAATACCAGTACTAAGTGAACATGAAATAAACTATTCTTTCGATCGATGACGACATAAAAATATAAAATTAGATTATATTTTCTTATATTATTGTGTTATCTGTTATAAATTTGTTAATGTGTACATGTTTTACATAAGACTAACAAACATATTTTTGTAAAACGCGTCTTTTTCGTTTGTGTGACTTTTTGTGTGATTAGTAGAAGGTTTATTGTACCGAATAAAAGTATACATTCTTTTAGACTTTGTTCTTCTGAAATAAACATGATTCATTAAACTATCGTTGTGTACTGGAATTTCTATCAACGTTTGTTTTTCATTGTTTGTGAAGATTAATAAACTAAAATGTAGAATTTTTCTACAAATTCAAAGATATAATTAGATAACACTCGAGTTCGATGTATCCACATCAAGTGCATTTTGCCTATTTCATTCTTTTGTTGTCGACGCTCATATATCAATAAAGAAATGCACGATAGAGAACACAAGAATTAAGAATGTAAAACATAGTGATTTATGTTAAAACTATATTATATTAATCAGTTTCATCAATCAATATTGAATTATAAATATTTCTTTGTAAAAATATAGCGCATGACTGTGTTCTTCTATCATCAGATAAAAGAATTTTATATCGAACTATACAGTTGTTTTCGAAACGATTTGTTAGTATATTTTGGTAAACTATCGTTCTATAAATGATGATCAATCACTAAAATATAACACTAAAAATTAATCGTCATTAAACCAGTTCAAAATAAAAAGTATTTATCGAGGTTATAGGACAGATACTTCCTCTTATTCACGTATTATTATTATACAAAAATAAGATTTTTTTCTTTCTCTTTCTTTTCCTTTCTGTACAATCTTTGTCGTCATCAGTCTATAAATACTGACGCAGTCACATACATTTTCATGTAACATTCAACTGAAACTAAAACGATCATTTCTCGAATAACAATATTCAGGTAAATAAGAAAATAATCAATTTTTTGCTCATTTTTAGTTTCATCAGTAGAGAATATTCAACTGAGACACACTTCATAGTCGCTAAGTATTTTCCACATGCACATCATCTGATACGTTCATTTTTCGCTTGATCGTAATATTATGTATCCCGCAGTTCAAAATCGATCAGCATTTGACTTTCTTAATATCTATTGTCTCGTTCGCTGCTTACCTTTTTTCGTTTCTACATCGAAGAATAATTTAATAAAAAACCGGCACATAAAATTAATATATTCTTTTTTCACCGTAAATTAAAATTTTAAAAGAAAAAGAAAGACACACTACACTAAACAGTTGATAGTGACGAAAACAATATTAGAAGTATAGTTTTGCCGTATTGCAGTCTTTCTCTTCATCTATTTTTGATTTAGTTGCCTTTTTTATTGCCACGACCACTAGCAGCAGGTTGAGCAACTTGTTCAGTGGTTTCGTCATTTTCTGATTTAGATTGAGCTAAATCTTGTTGTTTTTGTTTAAGTTTTGGAGTTTTTGGTGAAGCTATAACTGTTGTTTGTGTATTATTTCGATCACGTCGACGTTTCATATGAAACTAAAATCATAAATTTTTAACATATGTATACATCGTATCAAAGTTCAGGTTTTTATTTTACCTGTATAAAATTCCAAACAAGCCAAAATTGTAAAGTACCGCTAAGAATAAGTGTAATAAAACGAACGAATGGTGTATTAAAATTAGAAATAAAAACTGTTTCCGGTAATGTATCATTATTATCATTTGAATTTGCTAGAGGAGTTGACAGGAATGATACGCTATCAACAGATGAACTTTTTAAACCAAACCAAAATGTTAACCAAATTAAAACAACTGATACTAAACGTCCAAAAATAAAACTACAATTCCATAGTTGAAATAATTTTTTTGATACTGTTTTAGCTGTATTTGAATTCGTTTTTGCATTCGTATAAAAATAAGCTAAACGTGAGGAATGATAGAAGATTTCAATTAAATAATGTATTGTCAATAAAATAATTGATATACGCCAAAAACGTGTTAAATAACTATAGAGAATTACTATTAAATATAAACTTGTATAGATAATACGAGATGATATATCTTCTTTTCGAACTTTTTGTAAATATAATTCTGGATAATTATGTAACCAATATGAAATTTGAATAATAAAATATAATTTTGTCCATGTTGTCATACCAACATAAGGATAATCACGCCAAAGATAATCTAAACCTGATTGTAAATATCCTTCATCTTTGAATAACATGAAAGCCCATAAAACACTAATGATATAGAATAGAATAAGTTGACCTGATTCAAATAATTTCTCATTTTTTGATTTTGATAGATGTAATCTTTTATATATTTTATCTAATACATATTCTTGCCAAATAGCATGAATTGTTATACAGATAAGTGTATAAGCAAAGAGCATAGCCAAATCTTTATAACCATAATTAAAAAGTAATACTGTTGAACGGTCAATTGCATTTAAATTTGTTATATTATGACTAGGACCAAAAAATGCTGTACAATAAGATGATGTCACCTGCAATATTGTACCAACTGCTAGAACCATTAAAATACCACTTGTAATATCACCTAAATAAGAATATTTTTCTAATTAAACTTTTTTTTTCTTCTGTTAATATTTACCATGATTTTGTATTATAAAATCGTGACTGAAAATCGGTGGATTTTTCGCTGCAGCTTTTTTCTTAAGTACTGCGGCCGGTGTTGGCATAATAAATTTTTTTCGTTTATTATCTGAAATAACAAAAACAAAAAATTAATATTTATTTCTCTAGATAATTTATTCAAAATGGATGTATTTATTAATGCAAATAATTCACTTGATGGTTTACCAATTAAAATTCGTGAATATGTACAAGAAAAAATTGATTTATGTCAACCAACTAATTTTCATTTATGTGATGGAAGTGAAGAAGAAAATCAACAATTACTTGATAGTATGGAACAAGCCGGTGTTATTCGACGATTAAAAAAATATAAAAATTGGTAAAAATTTTCTATTGATCGAAGCGAAAAACATTAAATTAAATTTTAGTTATATTGCAACAACTGATCCACGTGATGTAGCTCGAGTTGAATCACGTACAATTATTTGTACAAAAAATATGAATGATGTTATTTCAACACCACGTTCAGGTTTTCCTCCTATTACAGATCCAAATTTACCTAAAAATCTCAAACAGACACCGTTGGGAAATTGGATGGATTCGGATGAAATGCTAGAAATTCTTGAAAAACGTTTTTCTGGTTGTATGCGTGGTCGTACACTTTTTATTATTCCATATATGATGGGTCCATATTCAAGTCCATATTCTAAAATAGCTGTTGAAATAACCGATTCACCATATGTTGTTGTTTCAATGCGTATTATGACACGTATGGGTTCACATGCTTTTAATGATTTAAAAGAATCTGATGGATCAACAATTGTTAAATGTCTTCATTCAGTGGGTGTACCATTACCAACAGATAAACCGATTTGTTCAACATGGCCAAGTAATCCTGAACAAACATTAGTTACACATTTTCCTGAAAGAAATGAAATTATTAGTTTCGGTAGTGGTTATGGAGGAAATTCGCTATGTGGAAAAAAATGTTTAGCTTTACGAATTGGAAGTAGTTTAGCAAAAAGAGAAGGATGGTTAGCTGAACATATGCTTGTATGTATTCAATAAAATTCAAAGAGAAATTGCATTTTTTGTTTGTTTGTAGATTATGAGTGTTACAAATCCAGAAGGTGTAAAAAAATATTTTGTTGCAGCTTTTCCAAGGTAAAAAATTCAAATAAATGAATTTTTAATGTATAGGATTACATTTTAGTGCTTGTGGTAAAACAAATTTAGCTATGCTTCGTCCACAAACACTTCCTGGTTATAAAGTTGAATGTATTGGTATGTAAAAAGATATTAAAAATTTTAATTTGCAAAATATTTTATAGGTGATGATATTGCTTGGATGCATTTTGATGAAGATGGTCATTTACGAGCAATTAATCCTGAATATGGATTTTTCGGTGTTGCACCTGGTACAAGTAAATCAACAAATCCAATTGCATTAGGTAGAATAAAAACATATATATTTTCTATTTGAGTTGTTTGTATTTACAGATATGGTACATGAAAATACAATATTTACAAATGTTGCTGAAACAAGTGATGGAGATGTGTATTGGGAAGGAATTGGTGAAGAAATTGATGGACTTCACCAACCATCAATTCGTTCATGGAAAAATAAACGATGGTCTGTTGATTTAGGTGAACCAGCTGCTCATCCAAATAGTCGGTAGGAATTTTTAAAACAAAAAAATACTAATTTAAATTAAAAGAAATTAATATACTTTCGATCTTTTAGCTTTTGTACAGCAATTAAACAATGTTCAATTCTCGATCCTGAATGGAATAATCCTCAAGGTGTACCAATAGAAGCTATTATTTTTGGTGGACGACGACCCATTGGTGTACCATTAGTTTACGAATCATTTAATTGGCAACATGGAGTTTTTGTTGGTGCATCAATGAGATCCGAAGCAACAGCTGCAGCTGAATTTAAAGGTACAATAAAATATATGAAATAGTACTATTGTTAAACAAATTTTCGTCTTTAGGAAAACAAATAATGCATGATCCATTTGCTATGAGACCATTTTTTGGTTATAATTTCGGCAAATATCTTTCACATTGGTTATCTTTTGGAAACAAACCAAATTTACATTTACCAAAAATTTTTCATGTTAATTGGTTTCTTAAAGATAAACAAACAAATGAATTTTTATGGCCAGGTTTCGGTGAAAATATTCGTGTTATAGATTGGATATTTCGTCGTTTAACAAATGATTTATCACAACAAGCATCAGCATATAAAACACCAATAGGTTATATACCTGATCAAACAACTTTAAATGGTATACGTGGTAATAATGTTAATCCAGCATTACTTGAAATTTCAACGGAATTTTGGCGTGAAGAATGTAAAGCAATAAGAAACTATTTTCATGAAAATGTCAATGAAAATTTACCAGATGAAATCACTTTTGAATTAAATGCATTTGAAAAACGTTTATCACAAGAAGTATGAGAATATTTTTAATCATTACAAACACCTGTTCTATATTTTCTTTTTCTTTTTCTCATTCTTTGTATATATTTTTCCTCGGCTTATCGATTTCTTTTTATTCTTGATCTAAATATATATATATATATGTATTATTATTTTTACTATAGAATCAAAACAGAAGACAAATATTATTCATTTTATTAATGTTAGACATAGAATTTATACACAAGACTAATCTACAGATAGAATATAATACGAATTTGTAGTTAAAGTTTATTTTCGAGATGATTAGGCATCACTTTCAAGTGATGATGAAGATGATGGTGGACTACTACCATTTTTTAATGATGTAAATGAATTCGTTTTTATTGGAGATGATTGTTGTTGCATAATAGTTGAAACATCTTGATTAACTCCATTTATTGGAACAATTAAATTATCTTTTGGAATAAGACCATAACGTAAAGCAAATACAGTAAAACGACGACATAGATGTGTACGTTCTTCAAATTCATCGTAGAGTGTACGATGATGATAATAAGCATGAGAAAATATACGATAAATTCGTCGACATACGCTGCCTAATTTGGCTATTGAAGTATCTTTAATTGAGATTCTGTTGACAGAAAAAACAAAAAGAAAATTGTCATTTTTTTAGTAATTAAAATAATCTTCAATACGCTATGTAATACGATATGAAAATCTCCATATCATCAACTAGGTAACATATTTACTGATTTTATAAAACGTAAAAATATTATCGGTATACTATTTCGAATCTCAAGATTTCAACGCTATATAAAATGTATTCTATTTACCGGCTTGGAAAATATTTATTACTATTCAGTAATGAAGCTGCACCGTCTAATGTATGTCGTGTATAATCAATAGCAGGACACTAAATAGAAGAATTCTTGAATAAAATACTTCATATGAAATGTGTGGTTTTACTTCTTTTGGATTTTTATGTGCTGCACATAAGAATATCCATTGCTCAGTTGCTGTCATTTGTGAACAAGTATCTGGTAAACATTCTTTCTAAAAGGAAAAGCATAGGTAAACAAAAGAAATGGTAAAACTATTGAATTACTTGTAAATAAACGGTTAAATCATTGAGTTCAAGACAAAATTGTCGTAAATGTTCGTATTTCCAAACGCCTTCATCTTGTTGTTCCGGTACTTGAAGAATAAAATCAATATCTGATGGATTACGACGAATGGCTTGTTGAATATACTATTAAATTGAACATGGAAGATAAAAAAACTACAATAATTTCTTTATATTACTTGTTGAATATGAAAAAGTGAATCCATATTTTCCAAACTTTCATCTGGCCAATTACACCAATCTTTTGCTTTAATTCCCGGTCGATTACGACGTATTGATGTCTGTGAATGAGTCATATCTAGAATAATTTTATTCAGATTGCTTAAATTATTATAAAATGAGATTCAAAATTAAAATATAGTTAAAATGAATAAAACTAAATACATTAAACGGAATTTTTTTGTTCAATAACTATCTTGTTGACTAGAAGTGCTTGGAGAATATTGATTAGATCGTTTTGATTATAATAAGTAATAAATGGTGAACATGCATAATCTTTGGGATCAAATTTCGTTGATTTAATATTATTATAAGTAATTTGAAATTGTAATAAATTGAGATCATCGAGAGATTGATTTTCTTTATAATAAGTCATAAGTTTACTAAGATCAAGTATTTGACCATCGATAGATAGCATTATTGCATGAGCGGCACATAAGTCCCAATTAAATGCAGCAGCTTTTGTTACTAAAGTAATATTTGCTTGTTTTAATGCAATGGATAATAATTTATTACCTAAAAATCTTATAATTATCAAAATATTTCATATATAATAAATAAAATCATCTTACCACATGCAGCTACTTCCATTTTAATCCAATCATTTAGAATACTATTAAATGTATTTACATCAGCAGTACCATGTAAAAATATTTGTTTATCATTTCTCGTATTTCCTTTATATACATCACTTAAGTTATTAAATTTTGCATTTGGTAATGCTGTACCCCAATAAATCAAACCAGTCCACCTATGTAAATATTTCAAAAATGAATTCTATATTATACATCATCTATTATTTTACGTATGTCCATCAATTTTTTTATTGAATGCTCGATTTATTACACCAACAACAGGATTACCATCGTCAATATTAAAACATCCAATAAGTACTAAAGCTGTTGGAAGCCCATCTCTTGCAATACCAGTATTTTCATCAATTCTGCCATCAGTACCATATATATATTGTTGTGTACCATCAACTGGATCAATCCATATTCCGATATTAGATAAATCAATAGAAATATCACTCGGAATTTTTTCAAATGACTGGTAATACTGTTCGGGAAGGTTTACATCGGAAGACGAAGAAACAATTTTAGCTAATGCTTGAATTGATTCTGTTGATTCAGTATTAAATACTTTTTCTATAAAAGAAAAAAACAGAAATTGAAGTAGAATGAAATTGTATCTTACGAAGTAGATCGAGAATATCATTTTGACTACAATCAACATTAATTGGAATCTTTTCATTACTTGATTGTAATTTTAATGAACCATCTTCTTCACCATAAATTCGATCCTTTAATGATGGATACTAAATGAAATGGATTTAAATTATTAAAAATATCTTTAAATATAAATAACTTACAACGAATCCTAGATCTCGTTTAATAACTTCTTGTATAATAACATCACTTAATAGAAATAAGAGAATATAGATTTATTGGAAGTAAATTATATTTACGCTAAAGTTTTATAATCAGCATTAAGATATTGATGATTTTCATCCACTAGAATAAATAATTTTTAAATAAAAGAAAACATATTTTTGATGATAACTCCTACGTTGTTTCTCTTGAACCATATCATTGAAATTTGTATTCATAAAACGAATATACCGGGCAATACATGCTGCTTTTTCTGAACTAATACATAGATGGGTTAAAAAATCACGTAATGGTACTGATGACATTATCTAAAATTTATCAACATATATATTATGACAACCATTAGAAATGTTAGTACAACAAAAAATCTAAACAATTCGATGCCCGAGGACAGAATTGAACTGTTGACCCCTGGTTTACTAGACTAGTGTTCTAGCCACCGAGCCAAATGGGCGAGGCCCTATCTCATTAAATTTCTTTAATCCATAGGATCAGCTACATAATAGTCTTAGTCATTTTAAACAAACATTTACGTCTCGTAGATAGTAATTGTATATATTTTCATCTAAAGAAATTTTTAAGTTTTAAAAAGACATAATTTACAGTAATCTTATCAAATTTTAATATCTTTTTCTTTTGTTTTGAGAAATAATTAAAAATACAAATTGTTAGTAAAAATTATTCTATTTCTGTTCAAAAAACAAAAACAAAACACATAAATAAATAAATAAATAAATACAAAGTTTAATATTTTCTGATTAATAGAAAACAAATTAATGTACAGAAATTGAGTTTTAAAGATCAGCACGTGAAGAAAGGGGTATATTTCGAAGTTCATTTTTTTTAGAAAAATGTTCCGAAAATATGGTCATTATAACAATTGATAGAAATTGTATAACATACCAAGAAAATATATTCGGATGTTGATTATTATACATCCAACAAATAATAAAATGATAAAAATGAATTGTTAGTGAAAAATCTAAACATTGTTTATATCGTCCAACTATAGAAACAATTCCAAAACCACTAAAATACAATTTATATATATTCAATCTAAAATTTCGTATATCTGTACCTTGTTAATGCATTGAGTAAAAATACACTCGTCAATAATCGTTCGTTCCAACTTGATAATTGTAATATCTAAATAAATCGATTATGAATAAAAATAAAATAAAAATTTAGGTTTTACTTTATAAGAAAATAGATAATCAAGTGTAGGTTTTTGCTGAAAAGTAGATCCAATAAGAAATAACCAAAGTCCAAGTCCAAAATAATATAATGCCTGAACAGCAATAATTTGACTAATAATCAACCATGGATCCCATTTTTGACTACGAAAACCGCTCATGATACCGATCAATAATATACGATCATATCTAAAAAAACAAAATTTTTTATTTTCTTGTTATTTAAGATCTTCTGTTATGTTTTTATTTATTTAAATTTCTTTTATCGACATCGAATCTATTTTCTTATTTTTTTTCAAATCGATAAATAATAAACAAAAAAGCAGTTTATTTATTTCTTTTTGCCTTTTTTGTGATGACCACCTTTGGATTTCTTAGCTTTACCACCTAAAATAAAAATAAATTAGAAAATAAATCGAAAGAAAAATTTATCGCTTTTCATACCTGGCATAATGACACCTTCGTATGTTTGTTGAAACCATTTAATAGCTTCATCTTTTGATATTTTATGTGAAGCACCCATACTTGCTTTTTTATGTTTACGTTTACCAATATCAAAACCAGCTCGACCGAGCACAACATAAAAATCCATACCATAGATACCAATTGATGGATCGTATTTGATACCTAAATCGATATGTTCTTGGATACCAAATCCAAAGTTGCCCATCGCACTAAAGTTGCCTTTGTGTAATTCGTATTCTTTTACTTTGAGACCTTTTTCTAAGATTTCTTTTGCTTTTTCACCACGGACGGTACAGAAAACACCGATTTTTTCATTACGACGAATGCCAAATGATCGAACGGTATAACGTGCTTTGGAAAAAACTGGTGTTTGACCAGTTAATTGTTCAAGTACTTTTGATGCACGAGTCAAACGATCACCAGATTCACCGACGCAAATATTTAAACATAATTTACGGATACGTAATTCACGCATAACATTTTTGCTTTTATCTTTTTTAATGACTCGGCCAGTTGTTGTTCCGGTTTTAGCTGCAGCTTTTGTGGGTGCTGCAGGTGTGGTTGTTGTGTTTGCTTTTCGTCCGGTCATGATCGGTTAAGTCAAACAAAAACAAGATGTTTATAATCTACAAAAGATAAGTAATTTAATATTAATCAATTTGACATGGTCATTCATAATTATTAGGATTGACAAAATCAACTTGCTCAACAAATGTCTGCCTTTTCATTTAATAAGAATGTCAAAAAATATATTGAGTCATTTGAAAATTGTTTATTACATACAAATAAACAATGATCAAACTCATGATTCTCTACTAAACATAACTCTGTGGTTTTATATTGAACTCAATGGAAATCTGTGGATGATGTATTACGCTACAAGTAATAATTTTGACATTCGTATTGATAAAATTGTATTTTCAATTGAAATAAACTCTAATAATCAAAAATATTACCATAGTGACTACCTATAGAATCTAATCAATTTACAAAAATAGTGAATGATAGTTAAAAATAAATAAATAAATAATATGGATGCACATCGACAACTTGAATAAAATAAATTTCATCCATTGGTTATTTATTTTGCCTTATTTTTGGAATAAGATTATTCGAAATTAATAAGAAAAACTAGATAAAAATCATTTATTTATTATTATTATTATTATTTAAAATATTATCTGTAAAAATGGAATTGATTTTTTTGATGTAACCAGAATTGTATAGATGACGCTATATGTCAGTTTTGATTATTCTATAATATTTAATAGAAGAAAAATTTTGAATGATGTATTGATATAAATAGTATTAATATGAAGATAATGGAAATGAATAATAATTTTAATCGAGGATTTTTCAATTTTTGCTAAGTTATCTATATGATTGAAAATTGTTTCGATCATCTATCGTTCCAATGAAGTAAATCATGATTGATATATTATCCTTCAGGTATATTTTAATTTGATAAATTTAGAAGCAAACAGCTTTAAGATTATACTTTCTATTTGCAATATAGTGTCGTTATTTTTGGTTGCATTTGTATATCAAAAAAATTGAAAGGATAAAATACTTTTTAAGTATAATGGAATGTATTATTTTGTTTTAGAGAGAAAAAGGTTTCGAAATTCAATATTTTAAATCTTAAAAAGCAAATGCTATTAGTTTCAATTTATTATTGTCAGTCTGGTGATTTGATTTCAAATGAATATTTTATTGGAGGATAAGTTTAATTTTCAACTATCTAATACCATCTCCTTTTACTAGAATGAAAAATATTTCCTCGAAATAACATTAATTTTCGAAAGCTTAGGCTTATTTTTTTATTCTATTTTCGAATATTAAAACACTAAGAACGATTTAATGAAAATCAAGGACAATATTGTTTTATAAAAAAGTATTATTCAAAATTTGCCATTCATTTCATGAAAATACTATAGATATGCTGACTCTTGGTATCACGATTGTCTTCTTGACGTTTGCTTCTATGATTAATGGAGAAGTAAAGACATATGTCGATAATGGTAAGTTATGTACTGCTTGGCAATATGCTACTGGTGCAGCAGTTGTATTTGATAACTCACAATGTTCAAGTAGTATACAACATGAACTTGCAATGTCAAACAATATGATTATTCTTCGTTTCTGTTGCACATATCGTGGTACAACTAATCCAGTAGTCAATCCTGTACCAAACGGATGTGGTCGTCAAGCAGTGACTCCAATACGTACACGAATTGTTGGTGGACAAGAAGCAGTACCACATTCATGGCCTTGGCTTGTTTCTATTCAAAATCGTAGAGGTCATTTTTGCGGTGGCACTTTAATTGTAAATGATAATATATGATTAAGAAAAAAACATTTGTATATTATCATATTTTAGGATGCATATCATGTCTTAACTGCTGCTCATTGTCTTCAAGATGGACCAGAAAGTGTGTCAGATTTACGTGTTGTAGCTGGTCTTCATTCAAGAAGCAGACCAGATCCAGCACGAGTTCAAACTAAACAAGTTGCTGGATTTATTAATCATAATGATTATGATCATGACACAAGTGAAAATGATATTGCTATTATACGTTTAGCTTCACCAGTTACACTCAATAGTTATGTTAATATTGCTTGTCTTTCTGCAAAAGATCCCGCTGTAAATGAAAATGTTATTGTTGGTATGTAAAATAACTCAATTTGAATTTTCTTTTTAATCAAATTAAAACTATTTAGCTGGTTGGGGTACAACAACATATGAAGGTTCATCACCAGATGCACTTCGTCAAGCTGGTATTCTTGTTATGGATGTATGTAGATATACATATGGAAATTATGATACTAACAAACAATTATGTGCTGGTAATTATCAATATACAAAGGATTCATGTCAAGGAGATTCTGGTGGTCCACTTGTTTCCGAAGTAAATGGTCAATGGATACTTAGTGGAGTTGTCAGCTATGGTGATGAATGTGCTAAAGTGAATAAACCAGGTATTTATGCTCGTGTTAGCTATTATCTTCCATGGATTCGACGTGTAATATCAAATTTATCAGGATAATAAATATTTCTTCAATAGAATGAATAAAAACGATATGTTTCATTTGATTGATTATATAGCACTCACGGTCTTCTTTTATATACCAAAGAAATTTCACATGAGATTATATTTTATAAAATAGAATATTTCTATTGTTTAGTAAATCGAAATAATTCACTATCTAATACAAAAAGTAAAATACCGACATTTATAATTCTTTATATCTCAATTGATTATGATCATAAATAATTTCAATCGGAAAATCTTGTTTTAAAATTTTTTATATAAGCAGAAACAGGTGAATTACATTTAAAGATTAAACTAATAAAAAAAAAGTGGAATGTCACAATATATTAAAAAGCTAAAATTTCTTTAATCAAATAATTTACAAAATTCATCGAATCCAATTCTGCCATCATTATCCTTATCTAATGATTTAATCATAGCTTCTACTTCATTTCGACTTAAATGTCTTCCCATACGTGATAAAATATCTGCAAGTTCTTTAGTTGTTATATAACCATTTCCATCAGCATCAAATTTTCGAAATGCTGCCTTTAATTCTTGTTGAGAATATTTTTTAAAAAATGATCCGGCCATAACATTTTTAAATTCATTAAAATCAATTTCACCACTATTATCGGTATCCATTTTTGACATTAATTGAGATAATTCTTGATCACTTGCTTTTATATGTAATGCATTTAAAACTCTTTTTAATTCATTTTTAGAGATTTTTTGAGAATGATCTATAAAAGTATATTAAAAAATTGTTTTTTTTCGTTGTTTATTTTTAATGTAACATACCAGTATCAAAAAGATCGAATGCATCCTTTAATTCCTGTTCTTGTTGTTTTGTAAGTTTAGACATAATAAGATATCTAAAATAATTTTTTTTCAAACAATTTCAATATACTTTTTTTTGTCAGTGTCATTTGTTGACATAATCAAAAGAAGTTTCACGTTCTCCTTCGCTACTGTTGTGAAGAGAAAAACGTGAAGAAATGAATGCTTACCGATAATAATAAAAAAAGGAGTAAAAAAGAAAAAGAAATGATGTCATCGTCCTCAAAGTGTTTGCAGTTCTTTTACAAGAAAAAGATTTGTATTTCTTTCTTATCAAAAATTCTATTTATAATTGTACCCAATAACTATAATCACAATCATGCCTGAATAAAAAGAAAAGAAGAAAAAAAAATTATATATTACTGTTAATGGAAAGTTGTCATCATCATCATCTTACAAAAATCGTGATAATATACTATGAATTAGTTTTTTAGAATCATATATTTATTGACAAGATCAACAAAATAAAGTGACTTTGAAAAAAAAAAGGACGCGTAATGAGTACCATAGTGATGGGAATACATAAGTTAAATAAACGCATACATCATACTGATAAATGCATAAATTCAACATATGTACTCGAATAAAAAAAATTCTTTTTATTTAAGATATTTTATTAAATTCTAAATTTTTAAACAATTTCATTTTTAATATAAGTATGAAATAAAAAGACATATGCTTGAGTTGATGTAATAACTGTCAAATATCCAAATCAAATTTATTTCATTGCTTGCTTTTATTTCATAGCGGTGTATATGATCTTTGCTATACAAGACATATCATCCATAGGCATGTCTCGTCTATAAGTGTTTGTTAATAATATATCAATGTATTGAATTGCTCAATCAACCGAATATACATATTGTCTCATTCATAGTTTGTTTCTTTAGTTTTTTAATAACCATAAAAAATTAGGATGTCAATTTGTCGAACATTCAATTATTGGTCATTTAAAAATAATATACGAACAAATTTGTGATGTAATAATAAATAATATGTATAAAATAAAGATTTTAATCTAAATCTATGTTTTAGTTTACACAAATTTTCTAGTATTTAATTTGATTTCTATAAATTTTTATTAGAAAATAAAATCAAACTATTGCCTAGAAAACATAACAAAACTTTCATGCCTATAAATCATTTACGGTTGTTGTTTTAGCATTATTTCGTGCTTGCATAATATTTCGTTGTAATTCAATATGTTCAAGTTTTTGTTTAGAACTACGATCTCGAAATACATCCATTACTGAAGGAGGTTTAACACCTGAAACGAAGACAAAACAATATCGAAATTAATTCTATTTCAAACCATTTAAATAACCTTCTTTTCGTTTCTCTTTTTCAAATAGAACATTATATGTTACAATAATTGAAAGAAATAATACTGATGCCATTAGAATTGCATAACGTTGTGGCATTTTATCTGGTTCAGCTAAAATAGCACGTCGAATTCTTCGACGTAAATTATCATTCATACGTTTAAACATTTCAAATACCATATCTAAAATAATAAATGACGAGTAAATATACTCAATTCTTTGTTTAATCTCTCATTGAGAATTCAAATGCTATATATATATATATTAATTAAAGCAAAGATATTTCTTATTATTCTGTATTATTTCTTTTGTTTTTCACACACGCATTATGGATTTTAATGTTTTGTTTTAAACAAAAAAATGCCTTATCTAACGCGCAAAAGAAAAAATCAAGTATGAAGAAGGAAACGACTATAAACAAACAAACACGCACACAAACAGTCCTAGAGAGAAAGTTTTGTTTTTGAATAATAACCAAAAGAAACAAAAAAAAAAGAAGGAAAACCAAAATAGGACGCTTTTCATCATCATTTTTTCAATATATACATGTTATTATGAATAAAGAATAAATGTTTTTTTTTTGTCGACGGAGTAGAATGGATTGTTTTCTTTTTTGAAGCACAAAGAAAAAAAAGAAAAAATAAAAAAAAAGAAAGAAGAAGAAGAACTCCGTGAATGATTATTTTATATAGACAAATATAAATAAATAGAATTAGAAGAAGAAAAAAAACAACACATAAACAGAAAATCGAGAGATTTAATTCGTACAAGCTCGAATTTTTTGGATATATAAAATTGTAGGAAAATGCCATTAAATCTTCTTGGTTTTGTTTTGTTTTGAGATAGAAGTAGTAAAGAAAAACATGATGATTTTAAGTTATAGGTGAACGTTCTAATGAACCTTCACGACTATTATTGTCTTTTTGTCGACTGCTTAAATTATCCATTTTGTAACGACGACGTCTAAAAATAAATAAATATTATTATTATCCTATCTCAAGTATCTATCAATTGCTTATCAAGGAGACTAGTCTAACTAAATTTTATTGCTTGATTAAAACTTAATTGCCAGACAGTACTATCCTTTATCTCGTCAATTAGACTACGAGACACTTATTAATAAATAAAAAAAAATGATAAGATTGAAGGATATAGATATTTCATATAATGAATACAAGATGAGATTGAATGATTTTTTTTTTTCGTACGAATTTTTTTATCTCAAAAATAAACCTAGACACTTAATTATTCTAATTCAGACGGTTGATTTTTCAATGAAATATAGATGAATAATCTATTTTTCTTGTATACAACTTCGAAATCAAAATAGATAAAGTACTTGGGATTTTTTCAATGCTAAAAAACATAAAATGTAAATATTGGTATAGACTTCCAAGGAGAAAATTGAAAAGTCTAATCTTATAGATCATGGAAAATGATATATTACCATAATATTTTTTGAAATAAATCTTAGCCTAATAAAATTTTCCTTCAACGATTATGCTGGAGAATATAAATCTTTCATATATATACTATAGTCAGTATTATCCGTAAGCTATTTTTAAACGAACGGTTATATTAAATTAATGGGTTTATGCTATAAACATAGTGTTCGAATAGTTGTGCTATTCGACAGCTGTAAATAATCTCTCAAGTCTTGTCGTCTAATGATACTTTCTAATAAAGAAATCTGTTTGGATTTTTTGTATAAAAATAGAATCCAAGATTGATTTATAAAATTATGACATACCTCGCATTCTGATTAGGTATACCAGGAGGTGGTTTTGGCAAATGACTGACAGTTGATGAACTCGATACATCATCAAGTAATAAATTACTCGTAGATGTTGCATGTTGTAATGGCTGTGCACGTCGTTGAAAATCTGTTGATCCACTTAAATGAGCATGTTGGTCAAGATTTCCATTACTAGTTGAATTACCAAACATACTACCAACAATTGAAGTTGAATTATTTGAATTTGTACCATTATTATTATTCTGATAATAGAATGATGATGAATAATAAGGATAAAGATTAGTAGTAGTATTTGATGTTACGACTGAGGACGGATTTAAATTTTGACCTGATCGATTTCCGGATGTTTGTTGATAATATATATGATGAACGTTAGCTGATGAAGCTGATGGTGGTTCAAATAAATCTTTATAAGATTTACTACGTTGCATTCTATCCACTAGATTATTTGTAGTTGTTGATTGTTTATTAAATGGTGTCGCCGCAGAAAAATTTGGTCTTGATGGTGTTTGTTGTGCTTGTCGATTAAGAAAATTATTCGATGTTTTATTTGTGGACGGATTTAATGATGATTGTTGAAATGATGTTCGACGAGGAGAATTTATTGGTTGATGAAAACCATTGCCATTATTATTATTATTTGTTGATGAATTTTTTTCATAAAACATTAGTTTTTTATAAAAATCATCACCACGATGAGTTTCAAATGATGATGATATACGATTACCATTTGAAAAACGTTGTGGATCACTTTTTGATTCTTCCAGATTTTCATTAGCACTACCTTCATCTTCATTATTATCTAAATAAATAGAGAAATGTATCAATCGAATATATATGAAATGAATCTATGTGCACAGAAAATCTTCAACAAAATATTGATGATGATGAAATGGAATTAGATAGTTATGTGTATTGTTAGTTTAATTAGAAAATACATGCAAATTGTTAATCATATAAACATGCTTGATTCATTTTGTTCTTACTTGAACTTTGTATGGTTGATGATGATGGTTGACTATATTTTTGTTGATAATTTTGTTTAAGAATTGATGTTGGAGAATTATCTTTAGTTGTTACTTGAAATATTGATGTATGTGGAGTACTTGGTGGTGTACAATATTTAACTAGACTATCATTAGCAAACGAACGATTTAGTTGCTCAGTTGATTTAGCTATTAAACGTGTTCCATTGAATGGTGCTGGAACAAAATTATATCCTCGAGGTCTTATATGATGATGATGCTGTTGTTGTTGTTGTTGCTGCTGTTGTTGCTGTTGCTGTCGTTGTTGTTGTTGTTGCTGTTGTTGTTGCTGTTGATATTCATCAACATGTGATGAAGATGAAGAACTTGTTGATACAGATGATGCAGGTCGTGCAGACGATGATGCACCATTATTACGAGATTCATAAACTGTTTTTCCATTTCTTACTTGTTGAGATTGTTGTTGAGTATTTCCTAAATTACTTCCTGATCCTGAATTTCCATTTCCTCCTTTCATCATCATCAATATTGTTGAAGAACTAGGGCTAGGTCGCACAGAAGTATCAACAAATGAAGATGAAGGTATATTATTTCTAGAAAAATTATCAGCCATTATAGTAGGGAGCATACTTGTTTGAGAATATGTTTGTCCATTTTCTTTTCTTGTTAATCGTTGTAGTCGTTTTTCAACATCATTATCATCATCTTCATGTTCATTATCACGTTCTTCATCACCTTCAACTTCTTCGCGTTCATATTCATCATCTGACAATCGATTAGCACCGGCCGAATTAGTATTATTATTATTATTATTACGAGTTGATATTGTATTTTGTGAAGGATGAGGATATAAATTTGTTGTACCATCATGTGTTGTTGTAGTTGTTGGACGAGATGTGGATGTAGGAATAGTTGTAGTTCGGTAGTTTTCATATGGAAGACTTTCTGATAATGGTTGTTCATTTGGACGGACAACTGATTCTTTTTCTATAAAATAAAATATTCTTATTTTCTTTTTATTCCAATAAATTCTAATTTCTATGATAATATTATCTGATTCAATTTTCATCAGTTTTAAAATACTAAAAAATAAACGAATTATTCTAGTTACATACGTTTATTTTCTTTGCCATCATAACTGTTCAATGTGCCAGTGTTTGAAATTTCATCAGGTCTTAACAATGGCCGATGATATTGTTGTTGACGACCACCATTAATAATGCTTGTTGTAGTTGTTGTTAATACATTGTTATTTGTTACCATGCTTAAACCCGAACCGTTACTGTTCAACATAGTAGCATAGGCTATAGGAGTCGATGATGGTGATGATGGTATTTGTTGAATATTATTGGTAGGCATCGTTGAAGTTGTTGTATGTGGTAGTTGTTGACTGTTCATTGTAGACGGAGAAAGAGGATTATTCACAGGAGGTGATGATGATGGAGGTGGTGATGATGAGGATACAATATTCGCTGTAGGTAATAATGATGATGGTGGAACTTGAGCTGCATGATATTGAGATGGATCTTGTGCTGTACTAAAAAAAATAAAAAACAAAACGATATTAATAATTATTGCTGTTCGTTTTAAGAAAAAAAATATTCGTCAGATCATAGCTCTAAATTTCTTGCTCATTCAAAAATAGTCAAATATAGCAAGTTTAAGTAAAAATCTTATTTTTGTTTAGAACAAAAAATAATAGATTTTTTTATTTCTAAAATGCACAAGAAATTGTTCGAGATCCATATATTAACTGATTATAAACATATCTTAATATATAAAAAATAAATTTTTTCATATATTCAAAAAAAAAACTAATTAAAAGAAAACTAATTATCAACTAACCTTTGCAATTTTTCTTGTGCATCTTCCCATTTCGCACTATGTTGATTATCACTACCTTCATCATCAAGATTATCATCTAATGATATCATCCATTGTGATATAATTGTTTGAGGTCCAAGTTTCATTGCATATGTTGCAGCTGGTATAGAAACAGCTTCACTATCACCACCACGTGCTGTTGGTGGTCTTGGAGGTCCGACAGCATCACTACGACTATTTGTTGTTCGAGTAGAACGTGGTGTTTTTGGTGGTTTACCATGTTCTGTACCACCGACAGATGTATACATAACATTAGCAATTTGATTTGTTCCTGGTGATGGTGTATCATCTATATTTCCTAATAATGATGAACCATTTTGTGGTATTTGTTGATATTCATTAAGACGTTCGGTACTTTTCATTTGATGAGAACGATTAAGTTGTGATAGAGCATTACCAGTTCTTGGTTTACCCGAATCAGAATATGAGACACTTGCTGGTGAATCTTCTTTACCTGTGGATTTTCCAGTAGGAAATTTACTTGTTGGTGTTAATGGTTCAATAGTATTAGATTTAGATGTTCCTGTTGTTCGTCTTAAACGTTGAGATAATTCAGATAGAGGTGCTGTTGTACCAACAACTGTTTTCCATGCATCTTTATTGCTATTGCTATTATTATTATTATTATCAACAATGGGAGTAGTCGTAAGAGGAGTTCGTTGTTGCGATAGTGATTGTTTTTTTGAAAGTGAAAGATCTTTATCAGTCATATTTGCTGATTGTTGAGCAGTTGTATTAGCAGGTCCTGTAGGTGATGATGCATATGTTCGTCGAGAATTTCGATCAAGACTTTTTGGAATGTTACGACGTGGTGAAAATGGTGAATGATCAGATGTAGCACCACTTTGTCTTCCTCCACCTCCACCATTTGATGATTGTTTCCAACGTTCATCAAGTGTATCTGCATCTGTAGCTTGTTGACGTGCAGTCATTGTTGTACTTACACCACCTGGTTGAGCTGTCATAACAGCTTTTGTCATATCCCTAGAATTGAAAAAGAAAGACTTATTTATAAATAAATAATTTCTTCTTATTATACATACATTGTCATTTTATTATTGATACTAGTTAAAACAGCTTGTTGTGTATGTGTTTGTGGTTGATTATGATGTATACCTGAGTTTGGTGTTAAAGATTCATCATCAATACCATTTGTTTCTTTTTCCCAATCATATAAATCTGAATCTTTATAACCACGTCGTGCTATTGATGTACGAAATAAACTTTGCAATAAATCATAATCTGGTTTATCTTCATAGCGTAATTCTTGTACATGTTCAACAAATTGCTTAAATAGTAAAAATAAAAAAGATATTTTTATATTAAAAATCAATAAATAATAGATTTTTTTTTGTTTTACTTTAAATTCTGATGGAAGACTTTTGAGAAAATTTGTATGATCATATTTTTCTTTCATTTGTCCAACTTGTTCTTTATCTTTAATTCTTCTCCATGGTAGTTGTCCTGTAATAAATTCAATAAGCATATAAAATAAACTCCATAAATCATCATGTCGACCCATTTCCTAAAAGAATAATCGATTATATAAAATATTCATAAGTTCGTCTTTTTATTGTATCAAACCTTATTTTTATGTGCATTTATTGAAGCATATCTTACAGTTCCACGAAAGCCTGCTTGTGGTCTTGCTGCTCGAACACTTCCTTCAGCATTTGTATATTTTCTTGCTAAACCAAAATCTAACATAAATACTTTACGACAAGTTGTGGGTAATCGTCCCATGGAAAAATTTGATGGTTTAACATCACGATGCAAAAAACCTATTGAATGTATTGATTCAATAGCTTGAAGAATTTGTAAACTAATACGTAATGATGTTGATAAACTAAAACATTGTCGTGTTTGACTACGACGTAATTCAGCTAGATTTTTTCCTTGCAAAGTCATAACAACGTAATTATATAACTCATTTGTTCCACCACCCAAAAATTTGCATACATGATCTTTTCCTTGTAAACGACGTAAAACTGTGACTTCCATTTTAAGTACTTGTTTAGCTTGTTTTGCTGATTCAAGTTTAAGTGCAACATTCTCTTTGGTAACAAGATCATAGGCTTCATAGATCTGACCAAAGCCACCACCACCAATTTTAGTATTCTAAATTAAATTATTATAGAACAAAAAAATTTCGTTTTTCGTTTTTGTATATACTTACAACTTTCCATCGTTCTCGAACGATGTTTCCTGGTTGAAGAAGATCTGCTTCGGACATGTTCGATGTTACCGTGCATAATGATTAGAATAGTTATTATTTATCGCCGACAACATATATACAGAAAGATCTATAAAATAAAATAAAAAATAAAAAAACATCATTTGAAAAAATGAAGACGACAAAGAAATTTTTGCTTGAATATACGACAGAGAAAAAGAGAAGAAAAAAAAAAGAAAAAGGTCGTCGTCACTCCCGATCAATCTTGCCCCATTCATACACAGCGAACATTCTTTTTTTCGAGCGTCGATACTGTTTACGTAACCCAACTCTGGCGGTGTGTATATGTGTTGGGTAGAGGACATACAGTAGTAGTTCTATCATGCCTACGACGATTGTCATCAATCAATTTTGATGAACCTCGTCCTGCAAGGTTCATTATTAAATAGATGTAAAGGTTCTTTTTTTAACACATAAGCAGCTGATTCATATCACAACTAAGACTGTCTATTTACGAAACACAAATTAAATCTATCGAATAGCATGTTCGTTAAACATACATATATACGCGTTCGGTCGGATTCGTTGACATAGTTTCTTTTGGGCGGAAGAAAGCAAGGAGATATACATATAAGCGAATATAAACGCATACACTTCATGATGTTGTTACTAACATAAAAAAAAAGAGATTAATAACTATCATATAGAGAGAATTAGTTGTTTTTTGCTTTCTTCTTTTTTTTT